CAGAGGCCACTTCCTGTCACAGCGCGCGGCACCTCCTGGTGACTGGCACAGGGAATAGAGGCCTCTCCAAGGTTCTGAAAGGAGGGTCCTTCTGCAGGGATCACAGCAGCTCTCGGGGGCAGGCTACACAGGGGTCCACCACTCACCATGGGAGGGGCTTGGCTCTGAGGATGCCCTGGACAGGGCCACTCAGCCACTCCTGGCTCTGTTTCTTCCAGGTGAGTGGAAGCACCAGCCAGGTACACAGTGCTCAGTTGTGATGAATTTGGCAGGCACAGCTCTCAAACATGGTGCTCTATTTAGGAAATCTAACTTTCCAAACCCAGCACAGTGGGTACTGGATCTGCATGACCTAGCACCTGGACTAGCACCTACTAACCTTGTACCTCCTGTGTGACCTAGCACCTACTGACCTAGTACCTACTGAGTGACCTAGCACCTTTTGACATAGTACCTGCTGTTTCTTCCTGATTGTGAGAACTCACAAATGCCCCAATCTATGTGACCCATTCATGTTTCTGAGTTGGATCCCTCATGTTAGGAGAAGATACTTTGAAACGAGTTTCTAGTGAACAAGCAGGATATTGGTTAAAATGAAACTTGGGCTTGCCTTTGGGTCTCAGTGCTACTCCCGTCTGTGTGTCTCAGGGGTTCACTTACTGAGTGTATGACCTGGTCACAGTGTGGACATGGCTCCTTGGCCCTGCAGGATGACACGCCCACCTCACCATACCCAGAATCCAGAGAGGGTGCTTTCCCTGCTACCCTGGATCCCTGCCAGCCTGAATCACTGTTTTCTGTTTTGATTTTAGATATGATAAGTAGGAGGGGATGTTTTCATCAACATGGATTGAACTGATTGGTATTCCCAGTGTCTCTGGGCTAATCACTGAGGAAATACTCGAGTTTCACATACACATTTGAAAGTCGGTGAAGTGCGGAAGGAAATGGGCTGTCTAGAGATGTTTTAATTAGCCACTGAGAAAATCGACATGAGAGGGCCCCAAAGGATTCTTTTTCTGTTGTTTCTTGCAGTACTGGGGATTGAAACCAGGGCCTCGTACATGCTCCACCCTGCACGGAGACCCAAGCTGATCAAGAGAGGGATCTGTGTGGGTCTGAAAAATGAATGCAGGTCTCATCCTCAGCATCTGAGGCCTGTCCTTTGCAGTGGCAAAAGTGCTGCAAGGACGGCCCCCTTGCATTGCAGCACAGACAGTGGGCTCGTTATCCTGGACATGCCCACTCCCATGGCAATGCCACGCACCTCAGTACTGGAATAGAGAAAAACACTTGCCAAACTGAACATGGACTTTTGATTTAAAAACTGAACTGCTTGACAAAGTAGTGAAACAGGGAACTTAACACTGAATAAGATCACCCATAAAACCACAGTCTCAACCCAAAGTCCAGGACAATGAGCGCTCCTGGAAGGGCCAAGGCGAGGAGGCTAGCATGACTGCTCCACTTGCCTGAGGTTCTGCCAGTGCAGGGAGCCAAGCAAAGGACGCAAAACCCCAAGTGGCCCACTCCATCAGCCCTGCAGTGTCCTGGGGCTATGAAAGTGAGCTCTTAAAACGCTGCCCATTATTTCCAAAGCCTTTCTGTTCCTCTGGGTGAGATGTTTTATTTTCAGGCTTTTGGATTTTCTTCAAATCCTTGTTCAGTCTCTTTATGTTTCTGACAGAGGTAGAGAGAAGCCCACTGCTGCAGGGTCTGCAGGCCTGAAGCATTTACATGAGGAGACTCGAGGGTCTTGTAGCTCTAGGGACCAATGAGAATTCTTAGGTGCAAAAGGGGCTGCAGCATCCCAGGTCATTTGGAGGCCTGGGCACATCGCTGACACAGAAGTTCATGGAGGTGTGCATTTCCCTAAGGCAGGAAGCGCAGTGCCACACTTGGGAGACTAAACCTGAAGGAGCACAAGGCCGCATGACCACGGAGACACCCAAGTTATTTCTCTGCATGCGGGGACAAGGAAGCACCCCAGTATCCAGTGTGGAGCAGTGCCCATAGACAGGCATCTCCCTCGCCCTTTTTGCCTCAGGGAAGAAGAGGATCTCCTCCTCGTACGGTGCTCAGGTGATGAGGTGCCTGTGCTCTGGGTTTGAGCCTCCATTCCCTTGTCACAAATAAGTGCACTGGGTGCCTTCTGCATTTGGCCGGTGCCTCCACACAGCAGGTTGTGGGGCTTGGCCGCCGCAACTCCAACTCCCTAACTGTATTTGGTGGAACTGCTCTGTGATTTGGCCCTGAAATCTCTCTGCCTGAATTCATTTGTGTGGAAAGGAGAAGGGGGTTCCTGCTGCCGCTGTGCTTGGGTTGGTGAAGCACCAGACATGTGGGGTGTAGGCCCAGGGCAGTGGATGCCAGGCCCAGTTATCCCACTTGACATGTCCAGAGGCCACCAATGGGCAGCCTGCAGGTTGGCTGAGTGTAGTGCATCTTTCGAGCCCCAGGACTACCCCATCTCACAGGAAGTCACAGAACCTTCTGGGGCACTGGAAAATAGCTGCCAAGGAAACCTGCACGTCGACACCACAACCACAAAGGCAAAGGAGGGCCATTGGCACTGCAGGGCCATGGGCAGGTGAGAAAGCTCTAGGGGTCCCTCATGTGGCACCAGGCATGAGCCAGTGCTGGGAAAATGGCCAGGCCACCAGGATGTGGAGTGACAGGGAGCTGGTGACAGAAGGGCATGGGCAGAGTCAGGAGGAGCCAGTGATGGCCAGGACATGTGGCACTTAACCACCTTGACGACATTTGGAAAGCTGTACTCAGATGTTAACTATGGGGATTTTCTGTAGACCAAATGCAGTGAAAGAAATTCCAGAGACCTTAAAATCGCATTTCCCTCGGCCAGTGGATGACATCTGAGGGCCCCACGCTCTGATGAGGCTTTGGCACGCCAGGCAGGGCCATTTCCTCTGTAGCCAGCTGTGCCCCATCTGCATGTTCAACTACCAGCGGCTGGAAAGTGTTTGAGAGCACGTCGCCCACACAGACCTTCTCGGCATTGTTTCCTAAGTAGTGCCACTGCTCACCTGGAAGTTGCATTCTGTGAAATTTTACAGCTCATTGAGAGACGCCCCAAAGTGTTGGGGGACATGGGTAGGTTCCAGGGAGCACCGAGCCCTCCAGTGTTGGTGCCCACGTGCCCGGAGCCAGCCCTCTCCTCCCAGACTCAGGCTTAGCATGGGGGCTGTAGGGTGAGACGATGATATATGTTGCCCGGCGAGCCCTGGAAAGCTGTGGAGAGTGAGCCTCGGTCTTTCTTGCTGCAGTGGGGAGCCCTGCCCTATCCAGTGCAGCCCCTGGATGAGCAGGGGATATGTCTGGTCACTGTCACTGCCACTGTGGCCACAGCAGTTGGCAGCCCAAGTGTGGCCACCCAGCCCATGGGTTGGCAGCTGACTACAGCAGCAAGAGGCCTGGGCATCCTGTGGGCAGCCGTCCAGCTGGGCCCAGTAGGGTTGTTGACCTCAGAGTTACGAACAGAAGCCAGAAACCCTGACCGATCCAAGTGACCCCGTGTGCAGCAGAGCTCGCAGACCTGTCGCTCTCTCATGGCACGGGGCAGGAAGCATTGCCATCAGTTTCTGTTCACAAGGCGACACCACTTCTCTGTTTCCACTTCTTTTCCTCATGTGCTGAAAAGTTATCCAAGGAGCAGCAGCACTGCAGTGCGAGAATGTTTCTCAGCAAGGGCCTTTCTGTGTTCGTAAAATTCCTGGAAGGCCTCATTCACCACTCTGGACCTTGAATCCCCCATACTGTCCCAGTGTCCCTGGGCGGGGGCAGTGTGTGCCTCCTGGTTTCCTCCCCTAGGAGTCTTGAGGGATGCTGCTGGGCTGCAGGCCTCTTCCCCTGCAGGTCCCGCTGCTCTCAGGCTAGGCTGCATGAGGGTCTCTGCTGTCCTTTGGGCCTTGGTGCACTGGATGCTGCTGTGACCCTGCACCTGAGCCAGGGCTCTCCTGACTTCCCAGGCCCTGGTGGAGCTGCGTCCCTCCTCTGGGACTCTTGTGCTGCCCGGCAGAATGGTCCTTTTGAGTCTAGGGCCACACGCAGCTCCCTCCAAGGCTTAGACATGGGTTTTCCACTGTGCCCTGCTGCCCTGGCTGGAAGTCAGGGAATGTCCTGTCCTGGCTCTCCTCCTGCAGCCTCCAGGTCTAGTCCTCCCTCCCTCTCTAGGGGTGGCTTTGGCTTCCTGCCCAGCCTGGCCCTCCTGTGTGTGCTCTGCCCAACCTTCCCTTGTGTTTTCTCTATCCTACATGGGTCCATGGGCACAGTCGCCCACAGAGCCATGGGGCAGGCCAGCCTCACAGACACCTAGCTGGCTTACAAGGGTCTCGTCTGGATCACTCTTTGCTCATGTCACTGTTTTAGCCATCTTGGCTCCTCACACCCTTGCAGCTCTGGGCCACTGATCTTGGATGACAGGGACAGCACGGCCCTTCTTTCCTCTGGGGCATACCACAGCAGGACACATTGACTTTCTCCTGTCTCCAGAAGGCCAGTGTCTCCCACTGCCCAGACCTTGCTCTCTGTCTCCAAGACACCCCATCCAGAAGCAAACGCCCTCCTGAGACCACAAACACCACAGACCTCCTCAGGTCCAAGGCTTGCTTCTCACAGACTGAACAAGCATAGTGCCTCCCTGCCACAGGTCGGGCGGGGGGCACAGGCTGCCCTCCTGTAGCACCACAGTGTCTTGGGCTTGGAGCTGCGTCCCATGATGCCCTGAAGCACCCCTGAAGGATGCTGTGTGGCCAGAGCCAGATATGCGCATTTCTGTGGCCCTCGATGCCTGGTCCATGGAGAAACAGCTCACCTAGCCATTCAACCCCACTCTTGCCACAGCCAAGCTTCTGGCTTGTCGGCAGTAGCTGCACAAGTGCTCCCTTGGTAGTAACTTAAGGACGCTAAGTTAGGGGACCCCATGAGACAAACCCATCCCCTGCAGTCCCCACACCCACAGCCCGGCCCATGCGTCCGCTGACCTCCAGCTCCTGCAGCTCCTCCTCCTCCTCCACGTCATAGGACAGCGTGTGGATCTTGATGTCATCAGCCGAAAGATCCAGAAACTTCCCGTCGGGGTACTCCAAGCTGTCTTTGGTGGGCGACCGGTCCTCAATGAAGGTGGTTTCACAGCAGTCGGTGGCCACACCATCGCCCCAGGAGCGCAGCACACCCTCCGAGTAGAGGATGAGGTTGGGCCGGTAACGAGACTCCACGGACCGCTGCAGGGCATTGGGGTCCAGTAGCTGCTGTGCAGCCTCCTTCCCACTGCCATCCACACTCTGGTGGCTCTGGTATTGGGGTGCTGGGTACACAGACACCAGGCCATCTCTGCTCTCAGCCACGAAGCTTCTGGTGTTGATCAGGCCATTCCTCTGGCCGACATCCAGGACCTTGCTGTGCACCAGCTCGCCCTTTGGCCCAGTGAGGCTGTCCATGGTGTTGGTCTCCCTGCAGGGGGCCTGGCCGCACAGGGTGCGCAGGTCACACTTGCCTCGAGGGACCCATTTCTCCTGGGGAGCAGGAAGCAGAGAACAGATGAGACCGACGCTCAGAACCGAGCTCAGCCCCTGACACGCACTGTGTCCAGTAGGCTCTTCCCCAGCAGGCGTGCAGGCAGTGGGAGTCAGAAACGCACAGCCCTGACAGCTCTCTGGATTTTCAAACAGCTGTGTCAGGTGTCAGCCAGACTCTGCTGGCCCACATCTTTGCAAAGTCTGCTTCCATGTGAAGGAAGCCACTGACCTCAGCTCTGAGGCCTCGGAAACCCCTAAGTGCTTGCAGACACCTGAAACCCAGGGCAGTCAGCTGCACGGGCGCCCATTCCCTGGCAGAGCTCAGCCCCAGGTCTGCAAAGGACCTGCCTGTTACGGAGTCTGTGTGGCTGTCCATTCTACACCGGCAGTAGAAGGGATTTAACACAGTGTGCTGCATGGATTCAGGAGGACAGGAGACCCACATCTTAGTGACATTGTGAGACTCCCCCACTCCCACCCCACCCCAAGGAAACACAGGTGGGTACAGATCGGAAGGTGCAGAACAGTGAGCCCAGTGCCCACCACACAGCCAGGAGTCACACCAGAGCCTTCCCTGCCTGATGTTCTTGACTTAGTGAAAACAATTTGTTTTTTCCTTAGACCATGTTCCTGTGCAGGCTTGTGGAGGGCAGAGAGAGAGAAAGAGACAGACAGAGAGAGAGAGAGAGACAGAGAGAGACAGAGAGACAGAGAGAAAGTGAGAGACAGACACAGAGGAAGACAGAGAGAGACAGAGAGAGAGACAAAGAGAGACAGATACAGAAAGAGACAGAGAGAGACAGAGAAAAGTGGAGAAGGAAGAAGAGGAAGAGGAGGAGAAGGAGGAGGAGAAGGATGATGATGATGATGATAATAGAACAGAGCCCAGAACTTCAGATTTGGGAAGTAGTAACAAATGATTTTCCTCAGGCTTGCTCTACATGCAAGTTAATAACTATTATACATGAAGACATTTCATCTTCAGCACTTCTGGAGCTCTAGCTTTCTATAAGATGTAAGCATTTTATTACTTAGAACTGCTTATGTGGTGGGTGATACAATAAAGTTTAGGGAAGACTAAAAGAGAGGGGGAGAAATCCGAGCGAACCTTGAAGACACCTAGTTCAGACTGCAGGCACACGGAGCAAGTGAGTAGTGTCACATAAAACCGTGTGCTTCAGAGAGGTCAGGAACACAGGGCCTTCTCTGTGGTCATGGCTATGAAGCCTCAGGCTCTGCAGGTGGATGTTAATTGAACACAGTCAGGGGTCTGCACACACCATGAACGTCATGCTAGTGATCCCTCTTGGCGAAGCGCCTCCTTCCACGTGATCTGATCCTCTTCAGAGAAGCCATAGCCGGGCTCTTTGAGTGATGCCTTTCAGTGCATGTGTGACTTGGCTACACCACATGTTAGTAGGGTGCTCCGTGAGTCTGCGGTGACCGTGAGCTGGCTCTGTGTCTTACCCTGAGCTCCTCCCTCCCACCACAGGAGCTGTTGATTTCTTGCAAAGCACACATAACTGGGTGTGTTCAAATCCCACTTCCTCCACGGAGTCTCACGCTCTCACCCAGCCAGACAGAACTGTCTGCTGGTGGCTCTCACCTTGTCTCCAGCTTCTCTGCCAATGCCTGTGGTACCTTCTCAGCCAGTATGTCCTCTTTTCTGCCTGCAGTTTGGCTCACAGAGCTGTGAAGCCAGTCACTCAGTGTCTCCCCACTTGCTTGATGGGGTGCAACTCTGCGGTGGAGCGCATGTCTGCCACGAGACTCGGGGCCTGACCTCAGCATTCTAAGAGACCCACAGCTCCGGGACTGGAATCCGCATCTAGGGGGCAGGTGTTCTGGGGTTGAACCCAGCGCCTTAGCTACATTCTCAGCCCCTTTCTACTTTTTTATTTTGAGACAGCGTCTCGTCAAGTTGTTAAATTGTCCAGGATGGGCTTGAATTTACGACCCTTTTGGTTGAGAATCTGCATTTTAACAGGATCTCTGCAGCTTAATCTGCTTCAGGAGAACAGTGATTTCCTGTAGTGGAGAAAGGAGGCGTTGGCCTCCTGCACCAGCTGCTTGGTTTTGTGGTTGGTTACTTCTCTCTGCTGAGGTATTCTGATAGATGCAGGCTGAACATCTTAAACCCAAAGAGTTCTGTGGCCTGAAACACCTGAGCCATGACTCAGTGTTCCTAGCATCTGCTGTGTTTCACAGTAGAGACCCAGGTGCAGAGAGAATGTGGCTATCATGTGCGTGGGGACACAGCCTCTGTTCACACTGGACCTGTGCCCAGGATACCTTATTATATACATGTCAACATTCCAACCCTTAGAATTGGAAACCTGACACACTTCTGGTCCCAAGCATGCTGCATGAAGAATACTCAACCTGTAATTCACCCAGTTCATCTATGAAAAACATTTTGTATGTTTATTTTTATTAGTGCATCTTAGCTACTTGGAAGTGGGTTTGAGTACAATGCAATTGTACATGCATAAACATACTCTGTTATTCTCAGATAATATTTTTTTTTGTCTTGAAGCATAGTTTGGGTAGCATCAATGAAGTCCAGGTGACAAGATCCCTGTCTGCTGTGGCAGTACCCTGCTATCTCTTGAGTGTAGCCAGTCATCGAGGTCATCTTCAACCATAATCCCACCAGCACATTACTTCCATGGGTGCCGCAGCTCCTGCTGCTTGGAGCCCGTCCCTGACTTAGTCTGTCCCCTCAGATTTGCCCAGAGAACAGCCACAGACATGGCGTGAAGGCAGACCATGCTCTGCCCAGGAGGTCCCCAGAACCCATCTTTCTGACAGATGTTTTGCATTTTTCCTCAGTTGGTGATCTTCAGAACCAGTGGCTACAGCCAGACACTTCCTGCTCAGTCCTTCATGTTGTCTTGAACTCTCTGTGCGTCCAGTGCTGCTTCTCTACACCATTTTCCGGGCTGTGTGGACAGTCGAGCACACAGCCTCCTCCTAGTGAGCTTCAAGTCTGATCTTGGAGTCTGGCAGAGGTGGTGGCCACAGGAGGTCACCAGCCCGCCCATGGTTGTCTGCTGGAGAAGATGGTGTAGAGGCTCCCCTGGCCCTGAACCTCAGTTCTACAGCTGTTAGTCTCTTTCTGGGTCTTGGCACTGAGACCCTGGAGAGCCAGAAACATACACATGTTTAGATGAACAGCAATGGAGAAGAAAACTGACAGGGACCGTGAACAAGAGCAGGTTCGTGACATCCTCAGCACTGATTTTACACTATGTACGAACACATCCTCCTTTGTCGGGAGACTGCTGCAGTGTCAAGAGCCCACGCTAAGAGTCAGGAGTTGGGGGATTGAGCCCCAGTTTTACTAGAAAGCATCTTAGGGCTGTGGGCAGGGTGCTATGAGGATGGAACCATAGAACAAGAAAGCACTTGAAGGTCCCTGCAGCTCCATGATGACTGCTGTTTGGACACAGAGTCAAGGGAGCCTATGGAACCAGACAGGTTTCTCTCAGTCTTGTTTGCTTGTGAATTCTACCAAGCACTCAAGAATTAACACTGACCTTCTCAAACTTGATAAAAAAAAACTTGAGCAGAGGGATCCTTCCTGACTTACTCTGTGAAGCTAGTGTCACCCAACACCAAAGCCAGACAAGAACATTACAGGAAAAGAAAACCACAGGCCAATAATCCTTCCACACACTGGGAGGTCCTCTGCACAGTTCCAGCAAACTGAATGTGGCAGCAGACGCAAGAGAACATGCATCAAGACCAAGTGGGATTTATGTCCAGGATACAGGGATGACCTGACATGTGAAAACCAACCATGTGGCATGCCAATGAACAGAACAAGTGATGCTGAAAAGCTTCCAACAATATCCAGCACCTGGGGCCAAGGCTGGAGCTCAGGGGGGAGTGCTAATGTGGCACGCCATGGAGAATCCTGGAAGACTGTCCTTTAGAACCAGAAACCAGACCCCTGCCTGTGCCCCTCCTATCCAGCACTGCCTGGGACGGTCCAGGTGGAGGAGCTAGGCAAGAAGAATAAGTCACAGACAAACAATTCAGATGGCAAGAGGTAAAATTATCTCTGTTCACAGATGAAATATACAAAACCTTAAGGATTCTGCATACAAAAAAACAGAACCAGAGAAATTAGCGAAGTCAGGCATAAAGTTAATGCACAAAATCATTTTCATTTCTATACGCCAACAATGAGCAATCTGGAAAGAAAATTAATAAACAACTTCATTTCACCAACAAAACACAATACCTAGGAAATAACCAGGGAGAAGAAAGATTTGTATAGTGAAAGCAACAACACATTGCTGAAAGAAATTAAAGATATAAATAAATGCAAAGTGGTCCCATGTTCATGACTGGGGCCTCAATATTAAGATAACTACACTCACAAAGCAATCTACAGACTCAGAATCCCTGCCAAAGTCCCAGTGATGTCTTTTGCAGAAATAGAAAAATTCGTGTTGGTTCTCACATGGAATTTTAACCTTGAAAAAGAGTAAGGCTGAAGGAGTCATGCTTTGTGGTTTCAAATTTAGGTAAAACTACATTAATCAAAAACGGGGTGGGCTGGTAGACAGACAGGCAGGTGTGAACGTGGGACAGAGAACCTAGGAGGAAGGTGGCCAGGTAACTCTGGACAAGACTGCCAAGGCCAGCCGGAGAGCAAAGGGCTCAACAAAAGATACTGGGAACTCGATGATTAAAGCAGGGAGAAGTTGGGCCTCAGTACAAGTGAAAAGCACCTCACAAAGGATTAAATATTCATAACACCTAGAACACTAAAGCTCTTAGAGGAAAACATAGGGCAAGAGCAGCAAGATATTGAATGTTTTGGTGATTTCCTAGACATGATATCAAAGGTGTAAGTAACAACAGTGTAATGACAAGTGAACTGTGTGGAAATGTATACATTTTGCACATCAAAAGAAAACAGAGCAAAACATTAAAGAGAGGATGCATGAACCAATAAAATGGCCATCCATAGAAAATACGTGAAG